CGGCAACAAAAGGAGACATCTGTAATACACTTTGTAATACTTTAAGCAATAAAACAATTAAAAAAAAAAACCAAGTTGGGGGTTAGGGATACTGACCCCTCACTGTCAAATTTGCATAGAACTTTTGATTCCCCCAAACTTAGCTACTAATAGTGAATTGTCTGGGTTCCTTACTGATAATGAATAGTTGACTAATACATATTTTGTATGTTATATGTATTATATATTGTATTCTTATAATAAAACCTGAGAAAGTAAAATGTTAAGAAAATCTTGATAAAATACATATATTTACAGTATTTATTGAAAAAAAATCCATGTATAAGTGAACCATGCAGCTCAAGGTCATGTTGTTCAAGTGTCAACTGTATTTTATTAAGGTTATGCCCATTTTAGAATATCAGTTAATTTAAACTGGATCTCCAAATTGCCTAACACTGATAGTCATTCTTAGGCTTCTCCATTATCTCTCAGTAGCTATTCCAAATCTTTACTTGTCCCTAAAATATAAGAAAATAATTTTCACTGCAGATAAGGAAGCACAAGATCCTATAAATTTTCTGATCACTTCATAGCCAGTAAAACAATTCAATCTTCATCTGGAACTGACAATTTCTAGAACCTCCATGGCACATTTTCTATTGTTTTGATCTCATAACCTGCATCTATTCTGTCTTTTCACTAATATACATAAAGGAGTTGGAAATCATGGAACATTAAATGTTTTGTAACTTTATGGCCATTGCACAGTCAACTTCTTAACTACAGCAAGCTTCCCTTTTTCCACAGCCACAGATACACACTTACCCAGATCAAATAAAAATCTGACATCAGTGTCAGAAGAATATACCCTGTAGGCCAGTGATGGCAAACCTTTTGAGCTCGGTGTGTCAGTATTTTGAAAAACCCTAACTTACCTCTGGTGCCGTGTCACATATAGAATTTTTTTTATATTTGCAACCATAGTAAAACAAAGATTTATATTTTTGATATTTATTTTATATATTTAAATGCCATTTAACAAAGAAAAATCAACCAAAAAAATGAGTTCGCGTGTCACCTCTGACAGGTGTGTCATAGGTTCGCCATCACTGCAGTCTAGGCTAAGATATTTTGCTTCATCCTGCTCTCTTTTTAAAAAAAATATATTTTATTGATTTTTTACAGAGAGGAGTGGAGAGGGGCAGAGAGTTAGAAACATCGATGAGAGAAACATTGAGCAGCTGCCTCCTGCACACTCCCCACTGGGGATGTGCCTGCAACCAAGGTATATGCCTTTGACCGGAATTGAACCTGGGACCCTTCAGTCCGCAGGCTGACACTCTATCCACTGAGCCAAACCAGCCAGGGCCATCCTGGCTTTCTTTCCTACTTACTCTAGCCAGTGGTCCACTACCCTGGGAGAGGAGCAGTATGAAAATGTGTAGATGTGGTTTTGGTTATCATAAAGAAAGAAGGGTTCCCCTGACAATAAGCCAGTACAGGCCTAGCATGCTTATCATCCTACAACATTCAGTACCACACCACAAAACTGAATAGTGTCCCTAGTAAGAAGCACTTAGCGAGACAATTTTTTCCATCACTTTGACTACTTTTTCTAATATCTTCAACTCTTGCACCCTTTATCTTTATGCCATATAACCATTTAATTTTTTAAAAATCACCATCTATTCTTTTTATTTTTTCTGTTTTTAATCTTTTTATTATATTCTTTTTCAATCTAACATCAAGAATACTAAACTCTGAAAGAGTATTACATGTTAATTCATAGTCTCTAATTTAAACTGGGTCTCCACATTGCCTACCACGATACTCATTCTTAGCTTTCTCCATTATCTCTCAGTAGCTATTCCAAATCTTTAATTGTCCTTGAACACTCTACATCAATTTATCCCCAAGAAAAATCCACCATCCTCACACCTCAGAGGAAAGAAAAGCTAGCTAGTAGGTGTTCTTCACCTACAAAATTATCTGTATCTCTGATTACCTATTTCTCCAAGAAACAACTTTCTCTTATCCATTCCCTGCTCTGTTTCCTCAGAGCATGAATGAATACCCTTCTTATAAATGTCCATTTGAATAACCTTTATTTATCCTTCAAAAACCAACTCATTTTCCATCTCCTTAGAGCAGCGGTTCTCAACCTTTGGGGGACAAAAACCCTTTCACAGGGGTCGCCTAAGACCATCGGGAAACACATATATAATTACATGTTGTTTTTGTGATTAATCACTATGCTTTAATTATGTTCAATTTGTAATAATGAAAATACATCCTGCATATCAGATATTTACATGACGATTCATAACAGTAGCAAAATTACAGTTATGAAGTAGCAATGAAAATAATTTTATGGTTGGGGGTCACCACAACATGAGGAACTGTATTAAAGGGTCGCGGCATTAGGAAGGTTGAGAACCACTGCCTTAGAGAGCCTCTCTTGATTTTTCTTTCCCTCTCCAGCTCTGGGGTTAGACACTAGCCTCCCAATAGGTTCCTACTGAACCCTATAGGTCAGTGATGGAGAATCTGTGACACGCATGTCAGAGGTGACAGGCGAACTCATTTTTTTGGTTGATTTTTCTTTGTTAAATGGCATTTAAATATATAAAATAAATATCAAAAATATAAGTCTTTGTTTTACTATGGTTGCAAATATAAAAAAATTTCTATATGTGACACGGCACCAGAGTTAAGTTAGGGTTTTTCAAAATGCTGACACGCCAAGCTCAAAAGGCTCGCCATCACTGCTATAAGTACATGTGAGAAGATTTATACAATAGTAGAATGATCTTATTAATTTATCTAATTCCCATGCTAGAGTTGGAGATACTTAAGGACAGAGTCCACTTGTATTTTATATTTTTATACTAGAATATCCCCATAGCACACACTAATTTGTATAACTAAAAGAATGATGATGAGTCCATTCTCCCACCAAATGGATAGGTAAATCAGAGTTATATTGAATGGATATTACTAAAGTCTATTGTCAGCACAGTAAATGAGTTGTATGTGAGAATGACCTTACTTTCAAGGACAATAAATGATAACTTCTAAGAAAACAATGCCTTAAACAAAGACACTCACTGCTTGTAAAAACTTAGCTCTATATGTATTTCCACAATAACTTGATAAATAACTTATGTAAAAATGCTTTCAAAGTAAAGTTACTTTGTGTGTCTCATCTCCTCTACTTCTTTCTGCAGGTGATTTAGACTGACGTGATACAGCATTATCCACTCCAGTTTCAGAAACACCAGGTTTCTCTGCAGAACTCCTCACTTGCAGCGGTGGTTTAATTTTTCTTCTTCGTGATGTTGCTAAAAGGGAGAATGAAGGACTGGTGTATTTGTGGGTTTTTAACATTACATATTGCTATTACTGAGGTACTATTTAGATGAAGAAGGTAAAAAAGGAAGGTTCTAGGACGGTCCCAGGTTTCTGGTTTAGATGAGTAAGTGGATACCATTTACCAAGGTAAGATATGGAGAAAAAATTGGCAGGGGGTGGTGGTGGAAAGATGAATTTATCTTGGACCTGTTAAATTTGAGGAGCCTATTGGACATTAGACAACAGCCCAGTAGGCAATTTGATTCTGGAAACAGAAAGTCACTATTAAATTGTCATAAAGATTAAAAAAAATTGTCATAAAAATGAAATAAGATGGTATTTATAGCAATTTGTATATAGTATCAGGTTATTTATTTTTATTTAGCTCTTAGTATGTAACAGGTACTGTCCAAATGTTTCACAATATTCCTTGTCATGTGAATGAATGATTTTTGCTTAAACCTCTATACAACTTTTATAGAAAAGAAATTGGTTCTAAGCTTAGCTAGAGGATAATCTGTACCATGTACACAGTTGGGAGTGGGGAAACAAGCCAATGTGGCCTAATTCAATGTTTTACCCACTATGCCATTCTACTGCCACTTGTGATATTAAATTATTATGCTGGATATTAATATTTTGAATAATATTTATATGTCAATACCCATTAAACCTTTCTTAGTCATGTGAAATTTCTTGACAATTACAAGATATTAGTGGTTCATAGTTTTCAATTTTTATATCCCCAACTTATCCCGCAGGTAAATTATGTCCAGAATATCCCTGAATTTAAAAAGGCCTGACTTAAAATATATTAACCGTTGTTAGAAATCTTTTAAGACTGGAAAACTCACATGTGTTGGTTAAATGTAATGGACTTCTCTTGTTGTATATTTCTGCACCAGTAACAAGAATTGAGGCTTCAGACATTTTTCTTTTGCCAGGAGTAAATATCTTAAACCATGAGAAACAGAGTAAATACACAATATCTTTTGAAATTAAATATTCTACAATATTCTTCATAACAATTTACCTTAACTATACACAAAAGATATGTGGCATTTTATAAACAACACTAGAGGCCCAGTGCACAAAATTTGTGCACTCAGGGGGTCCCTCAGTCTGGCCTGTGCCCTCTCACAGTCTGGGAGCCCGTCGGGGAGCGGGCCTAAGCCATCAGTTGGACATCCTTAGTACTGCCATGGAGGTGGGAGAGGCTCCTACCACCACTGCTGTGCTCACTAGCCATAAGTCTGGCTCAGGGCTTCTGGCTGAGCAGCAATCCCCCTGTGGGAGTGCACTGACCACCAGGGAGCAGCTCCTGCATTGAGCGTCTGCCTCCTGGTGGTCAGTGCGCATCATAGCAACCAGTCATTCTGCCGTCTGGTCAATTTGCATATTAGCTTTTTATTATATAGGATGATGCCCAAAAATTTCTGTTTTAGGCTTTCCTTAAAAATTTAATCCTAATATTTGGTATTGAACAGGTAGCCAAAACAAGAAAGAAATGTTGTTTTTAAGGAATATTAATAGAACATCTAGACATGTAAAAAAATTTTTTTTATTGCTACTGAGTTTATCTAGTTAACCAATAGCTCACAGTTTCCTATTCTATTTCATGTAGAGGATGTTTAGACATATTGATGTAAACTTGTTTGTGAATACATTCATAATGTTAATCATTGTCTAAAACTTTCTCACATTTAAAAATTTTTTTAATATTTTGTGAAGACTACTAGTAAACTGCTTTTGGAGTAAAAAGTAGTTACAGGAATTCAGAAACTCAATGACACACAAGCTAGGAGCTGCATTTTTAACTTCATCCTGGAATGACTGGTAAGAGCCACAGAAGTAGATAAGCAGAGGCAGGGATAACATGGGACAGGAATGTTAGAGGGTACCATATAAAGGAGTAGATGGTAACCAAGTATAGAGGAGGAGGAGATCTATTTAAAAAATGCACCTGCCCCTAAGAGAAAAAAATACTGATGGAGTCTGGTATAGGTCTGCATATGGTGCATGGAAGAAAGGTGGGAGAGCACAGGAGAAAAGTGCATTCTAACATTAAGCTGGAAACAAACTACGAAACCAGTTGCTTCTCCTAAAAAAAAAAAAAAAAAAGGCAGTTCCTAGTGGTATAGCAAATGGGACTTGACACAGTTTATTCAATCATATAAATGCTTCAGTGACTCCTTATTGAGGCATCAGACATTTTTCTTTTGCTAGGACAGTGGTTCTCAACCTTCCTAATGCCGCAACCCTTTAATACAGTTCCTCATGTTGTGGTGACCCCCAATTTCATTGTTACAAATTGAACATAATTAAAGCATAGTGATTTATCACAAAAACAATATGTAATTATATATGTGTTTTCCGATGGTCTTAGGCAACCCCTGTGAAAGGGTCATTCGACCCCCAAAGGGGTCGCGACCCACAGGTTGAGAACCGCTGTGCTAGGAGTTAATTATCTTAAACCATGAGAAACAACCACAGTAAACACACAATATATTTTGAAATTACTGAAAACATAGTGGCTATTTCACAATATTGCAATATTTTAAAACTTTACTGTGCTTAAGATCTTTCCCAGAGGTTTATGATTTAGTAGTTATAAGGGGATGGAGGGAAGAGCCCAAGAATCTGCATTTTAATAAGTACTCAAGTTATGATTCTGATATAATGACACAAAAATGCCTTTTACAATATAATCATCTAAGGAAATTATGACATTTTAAATTTAATGACAGACATAAAATTAAAGGGAAAAATCATAACAAACATGATTAAATGTATGGAAAAGTCTGTGTGATTTCTAGTTGCTTAAAGGTAAGAGATTAGTAAACACTGAAATAATCAGAAAAAAAACTCCAGGAAGAAGAAAAATGAACCAAGATTTGCAAATGTATGTACACCTTAGATGAGTAAAGGTAAAATAGGAACAAACAATTTAAGTAAAAGTATCGAGGCAAGAATGACCATGACATAAAAGAGAGTAAAGCAACTGACCTCAAAGTGAAGGGCATTTTTATATAGTAAAATTCTAGTCTCAGAACAGAGTCAAAGGTTAGACTGAGTGAGATCAATACAGATCACAAAGTTTTCTGAGCAGAAAAGTGCTAATATTAAGAAAAACCAGTGTTTACCATATAAGGTAGTCACAGGAAAAACAATGTTCAAATAAGATCAATTAAGAGGTTACTATGTTAATTGAGGTCAGTTAAAGTGAGCAATGAAAGGGAACAAGGAGGAGAGTTGGGAGATACAGGAAACACAATCACTAACACCGTGGTTGTAGTAAGGGGGAGAAGAGGCTGGAATCAAGGATACTGTCAATGGTGCATTATGGAAGTATGAAGGCAGATACAAATTTGAGGTGAAAGATAAAGACTTACCTGTTAGGCTTCAGAAAAGGGCTTGAGGAGACACAAAGAAGGAAATATTAAAACAATAAGTGGAGATGTAGCTACAGAACTTTAAGAGCTTAAATTAATGCACAGGAAGGAAGCTGGCTAAAGGAGAAGGCATAGAGATTTTGGGTATGAAGCTTTGAGAGCAAATCTAATTTCTGGAGGTAGGGAGAGACAGTATCTCTGATACAGTAATAGAAGGAGGTAGAGAATTAAAATACTAACATAGAAATCAAACAATAGGAGGACATTAAGGAAGAGAGGGCTGTTAGCAATGTTCAGTGTCCCAGGAAGCTATGACGAAGAAGGCTGACGCTGAGAAATGGTGCTATAGGACATGACCTAGAGAAGATCCCCAATGGCACAGGAAGAGGGGAAAACAGAGGACAGAAAGGTTATATCTCTAACTTGGAATTTCCAAGTATAGAGTGTACCTTGTTCTAACCTTACACATGAACACAATTTGCTAAAACACTACATTTTGTTTATATTTGCAAAAGTCAGGCAAAGTACTTTGAAATGTTACAGATGCTTTTCTCTGTAATTATATATAACAATAATTTGATCTATATATTTTTTGTAAATAACTATTCTGACACCATACTTACCTCAGATTGACTGTTTTTTCTGTCCCCTTGAGTACTATTTTTGATGTATTCTGGAGGTTTAGGAAATTTCTTTTGGGAGTTAGGATTTTCTTTCAAACTAATGAGTTCTTCTGCAACAGGTGAGATTTGACTTTCTGGCACAAGAATCTGTTGGAGAATGTGGAAAAAAATATTTAAAACTGAAAACTATAGGACATCCTCAAAAACCATTAGATATCTCACACTTCCGAAGGTCAATTCTTTCCATATTCTATGTATTGTTATAATTTTTAGTCCTACAAAATAACTCAACTAAAGGCATCCACTTTTTCAAATGTTAATAGACCTAACAAAAGCTTTTGCATTAGTTGAAGGACATATACTTCTGATTTTTAAACTTACCAAAACTGATATTGATTAAAAACTTAATACCTATCTTCTGTACTCAAATAATCCTATCTAATAATAGCAAACATGGTAATTAACCATACCTCTGCTACGCTTCCCATTGGCTAATCAGGGTGATATGCAAATTAACTGCCAACCAAGATGGCAGTCGGCAGCCAGGCAGCTGAAGCGAACATGAGGCTTGCTTGTTCCAGTGATGGAGGAAGCCAAGGTTCCCTGCCTGCCGCGGCCGGGCTCTGAGCTCCGAAAGCAACAAAGTTTCAATTATAGAGGCTAAACAAATACCAGATACCTGCTTTCAGCAGGCCATGGTCACAGAGGTGCAGCCGGCTCTTAGGTCCAGTGACGGCAACAAAGTTTCAATTATAGAAGCTAAACAAACCCCAGATACCAGCTTTCAGCAGGCCATGGCCTCAGAGCTGGAGCCAGTAGGAGCCGGCTCTCAGCTCCAGTAATGGCAACAAAGTTTCAATTATAGAAGATAACT